TCTTCACTCCACTATCCACAATCAAATGGTTTTGTAGAGCGAAATGTACAGACGGTGAAAAGTGTACCAAAAAAAATGTTCATCTGATGGAAGTGATTCATATTTGGCAATGTTGTTGCTGCGCAATACTCCTCGAAACGACATATTAAAATCGCCACGCCAACGTTTATTTAGCCGTCAAACAAGATCAATACTGCCAAGCGATATATCTAATCTAAAGCCGAATATTGTTCCAGGTGTTACGAAAGAACTTAGAGAGTCACGCGAAAATCAAAAACTCTAGGCAGATAGAGTAGCAGTTTTAGGTCAAGCATTTAAAATGGAAGACAAAGTGAGAATGCAAGTCCGTCACCCGGCTAAGGTGATCGAAGCACCCCAAACCCTCGTTCCGTTATAGTTAAAACGCCGCATGGTAAAAAATATCGCCGCAACAGTATTTATTTTCATACTACAAGGTCCCAAGTTCCCCAATAATTGAACTGAAGAAAAGGTTTCAGGAGAACCCTGACGTCTCACAACGCATACCGGAAGCTACAAGTCACGATCCGATGCAATGCAACGTGGATCCTCAGCCCGAGAAGTGACGTCATTCCATGCGCTGATGTAGGTTAGGTTAGGTTCGGAAGGCGCGTGCTGCCAATTGTCAGCACTTCCACTCGGAGGCATATAATTCCCATTGTGATGCCCTCGAAAAATTTTTGCCGGGAGAGGCGAGGTGCTAACCTTTATAATCCTTGTTAAACCATTTGGTTTTCCAGATGAAGTTGAGGAGATCCGATAAGTTTACTTTCGTTATCTCATCCAAGCCAGTGAAAAAGCGGTCTCCGAAACATTGAAGTCGCCTTGTCTGAAGTCCTGGGGAAGACAGAGGAAGTGGTTGATAGATTCTATCTCATCTTCATCTTCGCAACTCCTGCATAAACTGCTTGTTGGAACTCGCCACCGTTGGAGCATAGGTGCAATGGCACATTGCCCCGTTAGTACTCCAGTAAGCACACGAACTGCAGGTTTGCTAAAGCCTAAAAGGCTTTTCGTTTTATTTTTATCCAACCTCGGCCATAAGGTTCTAGCTACCTCACAGTCTTCGCGGTTAGTCCATAAGTTGTCACCGTGTTGGTGATTTCCTCTATTATCCTAAACAGCTCACACAGTGGTGTTTGTATTCTGAGGTCGGCCTCTCTTGCATGCATTGCAGAACCGCTTCTGGCCATCTCATCTGCTAGTTCATTCCCTTCGATATTGCTATGCCCAGGAATCCAGCAAAGAGAGACCTTGTGATGTTTGATGTTCATCAGTGAGGCGCGACATTTTAATACAATCTTGGATTTAACTGTTTTAGATTCAATTGCTTTCAAAGCGGCCTGACTATCTACAAAAATCGTGATATTCGATGGACGAATTGTACTTTGTTGTATAAGTTTAGCCGCTTTTTCAATAGCGTATATCTCAGCCTGAAAGACACTGCAAGTATCAGGGAGTCGGTAGGACTGCCTTATCCGCATATCTTTCGAGAAGATACCTGCTCCCGTACCGCCCTCCATCTTTGAGCCATCTGTGTAGATAGTAACTTCAGAGTTACCTGTCACACATCCAAGCTCCCAGCTATCTCTGGTTGGATAAAGAGTGGGAATTCTGGTATAGAAATCTAGTGTTGGTGTCATGTAGTCTGTAGTCGAGTCTAGATCTGCCTTGACTGAGCCCTGACCCCTCCTTCTAATCTCCTTCAAAATTGTACGGTGTCCGTAGTTAGCTGGTTTCCACATCTTAGACTCCCGAAGCCTGAGAGCACTTTTGGCATGTAGTATTACATTTAAACCCTCTTGAGGCGTACTATTGATTGCTCCGGTGGTACCTATGCAAACCAATGTCTGTGTTTTTCCGATGCGGGCTAAATTGCATTTTTTGTTCAACGCCTGGTACCAGACGAGAGACCCATAGGTAATGATAGGCCTGATGATCGTCGTGTACATTCCGTATACTACGTACGGTGACAATCCCCATCGCTTCCCAAACGCCTTTTTGCAGACATAGTATGCAGCTAGTCCTTTCCTAGTTCTCTCCTCAATATTTCTTCTCCAATTTAGTTTGGAATCAAGGACGACCCCAAGATACTTGGCTTCCGAGGAAAGACTCAGTGTAATTCCATCCAATCTGAGTAAGATGAAAGTAGGTATTTTAGTTTTCCGTGTGAACAGGACAAGCTCTGTCTTAGTAGAATTCACCCTTAAGCCATTGCTTTTTGCCCACCTGGAGATTTCACCAAGTGCCGATTCCATGAGCTCACTAATCGTTGACAAGTATTTGCCTGAGATTAGGATGGCAACGTCATCGGTGTAGGCAACAACCTTTGTTTTCTTAGCACTAAAGATTTGCAAGATTTCGTCGACCACCAGGAGCCAGAGAAGGGGTGATAATACTCCTCCCTGTGGGGTGCCCCTTGTAGTCCTTCTGGTCACGGAGCCCGCTCCTATATTAGCGTTGATGACTCTGCTTTCAAGCATTTTGCCAATCCATGCTATTATGAAGTTCTCGACTCCGTTTCTTCTAAGTGCCTCACGTATCGCGTTCGTGCTTTCGTTTTTGAAAGCTCCCTCGATGTCAAGGAATCCAGCCAGGGTGTAATCCTTTAGTTCGAGTGTTCTTTCAATAGTACCAATCGCTTCGTGGAGAGGTCTTTCTACCGTCATACCCTTGTTTTTACAATAAACGAGGAGAGACTAATTGGTCTGTAATCCTTTGCAATACAGTGATTTAGCTTTCCTGCTTTTGGGATAAAAACCACCCTAATCTCCTGCCAAGCTTTAGGTATATATCCATCCCTTAAGCATCTTGAAAAGATGTTCACCAGATGAGGACCCACGCTTTCAGCAGAGTGTTGCAACAGTCCTAGCAGTTTAAACAGGATTTATCTGTGTTTCACAGTCAATCGAGTTAGTGCACCTTGGAAAGTGTGTCGTCATTAAAATATTAAGAGATTCCTGACTCGAGTCTGTCCATGAGCCGTCTGGCCTTTTAATACTACCTAGGGTTGCTGATTCTCCAGATAGTATTTTTCGTAACCTTGATACTTCATTTCATTCACAGTCTCAATAGTTCCGCAGAACTGTTGCCAGGAATTTCTCTTTGCAGTTTTTTTGCTTTTATATATAATTATATATATATATACATATTAAAAATGGCTTTATAAAAGTTCCAATCCTCTTCTTGCTGGCTACTTTTTACCTTGTTGAAGAGTTTTCTGGATGTAGTTCTCAGCAGCCTCAATTCCGCACTCCACCAAACCGGTTGAGGCTTAATTTTTGGCCTAGTTAGGGGGCAAGCTGATTCAAAAGATTTATTCAAGATATAGCATGTATACACTTTGTATATATATAATTATATAAATGCATATTAAGGTGCATATAAAATATCATTAAATGGTTAACGTACAGTGTTGTGAATGTGCCTATGCAGCACATTCCCATCATTGACTTTAGCCCTATGCAAGCAGCCAGACTGCTGCAATATGAAACCTCACTTATGTGAGATAATAAAATGTATACATGCTCCTCTCTTGTGTTAGTGCTTGCCGGCGTACTAACACAATTATGTAGTCGGTAGTTTTAAGATAAAGTAAGACAATAATTTTAATAAAGAAACGTGAACTAAACTAAGCAGACGTGTTCTTATTATATGGACTTTTATTTTTTCAATGTTCTTATTATAATAGGTGTAAGCCATACATCCAGATTGGCTTAATGACTTTATACTCTAAACATATGGGAGGCTGATGCACGATTAGCTAACGAAAGCTTATAACCTTGAGCGTTTGTAAAGGTGAATATCAAAGTACGACGCTGTTTTTGTTTGCGGAACTACAATTCTGTTGAGAATTATAATTGGTGAGGGGGATCTGTGAAGAGAGAATGTTATGTTTTTTTTTTCTTTTATCGGTTTATTTATTAAATCTTTCTAAATAGAAATTGACAATAATTTTGCAAATCTTAAAAAACTAATATGTATGCTATTGAGCTAGGTATCAATATTTATCAAGGATTTTCTTTTAAGGCGATTTGGTGCAGTTGCAGAAGATGAGTACCGAACATGAGGGTTTGGATGCGACTTGAGTCTATCTCGAAATTTAGGTATATATTGATGAATAACTTTTTCAACAGTTAGTAAATTTAGATCTTTCTGTAGGTTTTTGTTTTAACATACCACGAAGCGTATCTAGCTTGTCGGAAAATTTGGATTTATTCTATATTTGTGTTACACGTGAACATCACAGTTCTATACTATAAGTCCAAATTGGCTTTAATATTGATTTGTAAATTAACAATTTGTTATCGAGACTGAGTTTAGAGTTGCGATTTAGAAACCAGTACAATTCCTTATATTTAAGATTGTTGTGTGTAGCGCAAATTAAATTCAAATGTAAACAAACAATAAATTATTTTATTTTATTTAAAAAAGTGCTTATGCACAAATTATTTTATAGCAATCCATTTCTAACTAATGTAATATGTAATGCGATCGCACACGGAAGAACCACCACAATGCAAGTAGAGTGTTTGGTCATAGCATGTATGCAATTGCTATTTGACACTTTTCTTTTCTGTGCAACTATTCTGCACATGTCGATATGATACACTTGAATGTGTCATAATATTTTCTAAGCATTGTAATGGTATATCTATGGTTGACCTTACTCAATGT